CCCACGGGGCCGGGGGGCGGCTCGCCGCGGCGGCCGGGGGGGCCGAGAGCCCCGGCGGGGCCGGGCGCTGGGAACCAGCCGGCGCCGAGCCGCGGGGAGCCGCTGCCCCCGCGCAGGCGAGATGTTTGCGCTCCAGCCAAGCCGCCGAGACAACCCGACACTGCGTGGACATTTTCTAACCGCTGAAACGGAGCTTCCCTGCTCCTGCATGCCAGGAAGGAGATCTGCAGGAGGTTGCGTCCTTACTCCAAAAGCATGACACTCAAAAGCCTTGTGCCTTGATTTCTTGCTATGTTCCGTTTCTCTTCAGATTTTGAGGCCTGTCACCGCCGAAGCGACTCCAAGACCTGACTGTATTTTGCCCACCATTGCTGCATAAGTATGCAGGAAATGTTCAGACATGGCTTATTTGTATCCGATGAAACTTCGTTGAACCAAAAATTCATCCTATTACATTTCCATTCTCCGTCTTGTCCCTGACGTCAAATCAATTTCTTAAAATTGAAATCACACGCTCACACATGGCACTGCTCCCCCGCTACCCCCCAGCTTGTTTGAGGACGGGACAAAATAAAAGAATATTTTGTGGGAGTTTCGGAGTTGTTGCGAGTATTTCCGTGCACGTTTGAATATTATATTAATTCAATTAATGTAAAAATATCCCCTCATGGATTCGCATGTACTTTTGTACATGAACGCAGGCAGTTTATGTGAACACAAGCGTATAAGAGTGTGTTTTCTAGCGAGCTAAAATAAGGCAGCGGTTTAGCTCGTTTTCTAGCGAGCTAAAATAAGGCAGCGGGCAGCAATAAGAGACGCGACACCTACCAACGAAGGATCAGCAACGCGTCCCAGGATCATTCTCAGAAAGCCTTTTTCCCCCGAAAAGGGGAGAACAAGTGGAAAACCACGCCTGCCCCTGCAGGGGCGAGGGCCGGGGGTCGCCAAGGGGCTCGGGGGCTGTGGGGAGGCGGCGGTCCCCGCCTGCAGCCGCACGCTGGCTGAAAGGGGCATCTCCCCGTGCAAATCCCCCCTCTCCTTCGCAGCCGCTTTCACGCAAGCGTCTGCCGGGGGCTTGCTTGAAGTGCGCTTGTCCTAGGCTACGCGGGAGGGTCAGCACACCTGAGACCTGGGGGCCAGGCCGGGCATTTTCGAGCCCGCAGGCTGGGAGGGGGAGCGGCAGCGGCGGGGGGAGCGG